GCACTGGGTGTTATTCTGTACGTTGGTAAATTGAACACCAATAAAAATTAATTTATTAAAAAAATAAAATTTTTATTTGAATTGCAAAAAAAAAATAAGATGAGTTAGAGACCCAGGGAGGTGTCACCGGGCCGGCAGCTGGCACCAGAGGGTCTGTGGGATGCTGGAGCTCGTGTCCTTTCACGCCCCCCCCACCCCCCCTTAAGGAACAAGACGGTGTCTGTGAGTCTCGGTGGGTGTTGACGGAGGCCTCTGGCTCTTCCACACGGTGGCTGATGCAGTATGTGCAAGAAAGATGGGGTCTTTCCGCCTCATCCTGCCCCTTCTGGGACCCCCACCCCTTGCCCAGGAAATGGCACGTGCCCATCTGGTTGTCAGTATCAGATTGGGTGGGTACCTTGAAATCCCTGCACCCCACATCCAGTTAATCCTCAAAAGTCAACAATCTGGGAGTCACCTGTGCCCCTCGCCCCATCCCTCCGCAGCTGCTCCTCCGCAGGCTTGAGGGACCACCTGTGCAGCACACACCCCATCTGACTTGGCTCCCCCGTGCCCACCGGGATGGTTGCCGGCCCCCTAGGGATCCCCGTGCCTGAGGTCCCTTCTCCATCAGCAGCCTGAGGGATCTTCTGGAGACATTTCTGCCATCAGCTGTTTTTCATCAGCCCTGGAACAAAATCCAGACTCCTAAGGAGCAGCCCAGGACACCGCGTGGTCTGCGTCCTTCCCCTCTCTCTCCGGCCTGCTCACACCCCAGCCCCTCACTCTGCCTCTTTGGCCTTTGGAGCCCCATGTTGCTCCCACCTCCCGGCCTCTGCCCCCACCTGCCCCTATGCCTGGGCCCGGCTCCCTCTCTGACTTGTCTGGTTAATCCCTTCGGAGCCTTCTGCCTCAGAGGGCGCATCCCTTCCTCAGCCCAGGCTCCTCCCTGCCCGGGGGGGGGGGGGGGAGGCACGCCCAGCTCTCTGCTCCTTGACATCGGTGGGCTGATTGACTGTGTCCTTAATCCTGTCATCTCGAGACCAGGAGCTCCACGAAGCCAAGGACCAGTCATATTGTGTTCATTGTGATATTCTGGGAAAATCATGTGTTTGGCATAAAATAGATGTTAATCTGCACATTGTGTGAGAATGAAACCAACTCTAGAGACGCATGTGGGTGAGATTGGGCTCCTTGCGGCACCCCCGCCCCGTTCCCCCTACGTCCTGATGACAGTGGGCACCTCCTACACGTCTCTGCCAGGCCCGGGGTCACCTCCGCCATGAAGTCCTTCCTGACTGCACCAGGCAGAGGAAGACCTTCCTTTTGCCTTTGCCTCTTTGGGTTTTTTGAAGAGACAGATTTTACTGACTTCGGCTCTTTGTAGCTCTTTGAGGCAACTATGTTGGGGTTTTCGTGGCTGCAGGAGTCAAGAAACAGCTTTGGGTTTTCTGATCAAGGGCCAGAAGGGTGACCCTCAAGAGGGCTTTAGAACCTGACTTGAAGCCCTAGGCAGGGACAGGAGAGGTTTTCAGTGTGATTGCACTCTGCAGAGGTGAGAGGCAAAACCCAGTCATCCTTCAAACCTAAAGCTCAGCCTCAATACCTTTGTGTACTGTGTGCATGCATTTTTTTTAAAACAGCTTTTTTAAAAAAAAGATTTTATTTATTTATTCATGAGAGACCCACAGAGAGAGGCAGAGACACAGGCAGAGGGAGAAGCAGGCTCCATGCAGGGAGCCCGATGTGGGACTCGATCCCTGGTCTCCAGGATCACGCCTCAGGCCGAAGGCAGACACTCAACCACTGAGCCACCCGGGGATCCTCCTTAAAAACAGCTTTATTGAAATAATATACCACAAAGCTCACCTGTTTAAAGTACAGCATTCGACGGTTTGTAATATATTCACAGTTGTGAAATCCTCACCATAATCTAATTTTAGAACATTTAGAACATTTCTGTCACCCCAAAAGGAAACCCTGAACTCATTAGCGACCATTCTGAATCCCTCCCCCAACTTCCAGCCCCAGGCAACCACTCACCGGCCCATCTCTTATTATTAACAATAATATAAGTTATTAACAATAATAATACTTACGGTGGGTGGATGTGCCGCGTTGTATTTATCCTTTTATCAGTGGATGGACATTTGGGTCGTTTCTATGTTGTGCAGTCTTGTTGGTTCCTGTAAGGTCACCAGCAGGTGCTTACGGGGACCTTGTTGAGGGGGCCGGCTGGTAGCTTTCATGAAGACCCCTCGAGGATTCCCGACCCCCTGTGGACACCTGTCTTCTGGCACCATGGGCCGGGTCCTCCCAGGCTTCCAGCCCTCCCTGCCCCCAGGCTGAGTGACTTGGAGGCCAGAGTCTCTCCCGAAGGTGCTTACCCAGCAGACTAGTTTCTTAAGACCAGATGCAGTGGTCACTTTTTTTTTTTTTCAATTTAACGCTATTTTTATCATGGAATATTTCAAAGCCAGAGAAAAATACGATGAGCTGCGTGTCTACTCAGCTATGACAAATCACAATATTTTGCTAAAGCGTATTTTTTAACTAAATCTTGGTTGTCACTCTTGTCTTCTGTCTCTCCACTCCTGGAGCAAATGCCAAGTCTTCTCTCTTGTGCTTTTAAGTCCTGCCCATGCGTTTGGCGGAGCGGGTGAATGGCATTGCAGTGCAGACCGTCTGAGGAGACTAGAAATTACTTTAGGTGGTGCATGGACAGGCATTTAGGAATACTGGCTCCCTTAAAAAAAATTCTTTCCATGCTTTGTCCTTCTGGGAGCGTTAAGAACGTCTCTGTCTGGCGCCCAAGGGTCTGAACGGCCTCTCCCACCCTGCCCATCTCCCTTTTCAGCAACGCGGGAGCCCGCAGGGGACCCGGCGGGCAGGACCCAGTCAGCACCATAGTCCTTCCCGGAGATGACAGGGAGGTCACCTCTCTGTCGCTGTGGCGATGGTTTCCTTTCAAACGCATGTAAGTGCCAAGAATTGATTTAAAGAAAAATCCCAAGCCAGTGGCAGCACAGGTTCTGAGTAGGGAAGCCCAGAGATGGGGAGGGGGGTGGGGGGAGGCAGAGAGCTGGAAGCCACTGGTGCCCTTGTTCTTCGCTGGGACCCTGGGCTGGCCTCCTTCCCCCCACCCTGCTGGTCCATGTCTGTTCCTGCGGCTGGCTCCCTCATCTCCATGTGGGAGGTGTTGATGGTGTGCTTAGTGGAGGTTCCAGAGTCTGCCCGGGGGGCGGGGGGGGCAGGACTGGCTCTCGGGGGGCTCCAGAGGACTCACTTGGAGAGACCACAGGGCCAGAAGCCTCGGCCCTGCTGGTCCTGGCCTGTGACCCAGGCAGGCCGCTCATCCCTCTGCCTTGCCCTCCCGTCTCAGGTGGGGACTCCAGTTGCCCGCAGCTCCTCAGGCATCATCGTGAGGAAGAACTGATCCCCCGAGTGAAGAGCTCAGCCCAGAGCTGGGCACATCCTCATCGGGCACATTTCCATGGGGATCAAAAGTATTGCAGAAAATGTCCTCCCCGTTTCCTCTTTGTTTCATGGTATCGTTAACTGTGCCTGTTTTGGGGGACATCTCCTGGTTTGTTGGTGACCATTCTCAGCTCTTCCCTCCCCTCCAATCCTGGAAGACCCATTGTGGGGGTTGTTTCTGCATTTGTTCCCTGTTGGATCTGTAATGCCTGATGTGGTACCCGGCACGCGCTAGAGTCTGCGGATTATTGGAATGAATGAATGAATGAATGAATGCGCGTGCGCACACACACAGACACACACACGTGCATGCACACTTTCCCCGAAGCTGGTTGCTGCTGACAGCCCAAAGCTGTGCGTGGAGGGAGTGCCCATGTTACTTCCCCACTTCTTCTACGCTGCCAGGGTGCTCCCCCTACACCCCAGCCCTGCTTTAGTCCTGAAGAACAGCCCCCCTGGCAAGTCCCAGTCCCTGCTCTGCCCTCGCCAGCTGCGGGACCCAGGCTAGCTTCTCTGATCTCAACAGCGGACCTGCCCCCGCCCCCCGGCGCTGTCTGAGGGGCTGACGGGGTCACACCATTGCAGCTTCTGTGCACCGCCTCTGTGTGCAGCGAGTTTTAGGTGGGAGCAGCCTCCCCCCTGTCCCTGTGGCCCAGCCATTTACTGGGCTTTCCTCTTTTCCTTATCCTTCCTGTCCCCCAGGCCTTAGCTGGAGACTCTGGTGTTGCCTGTGCTTCCCCTACACCACTCTCTGGAATGGTGAGAATTGCTCATTAGCACTTTGGAGGGCACCTCTGTAAGTGGCAGCCCTCGGGGGTGTCACCTTCGCTGCCTAGCCCATCAGCTCCATCGAGGCATCTGGGGGAAGCCTCCCTAGAAGGCACCCGGTGCCCCTCCTGCCTGATTCCTCCCAGGCAAGGGGTTAAGGACCTGGAGGAAGCAGGGCTGGGCAGTGGGGAGGGGGTTAAGATTGCAGGGCTAGAGCTCTGGAGGGCACCCCTGTCCCCCCCCCCCCCGTGGAGTCTGGGCGGCAGGACCTACTGGCCTCCGTTACCCCAAGAGAGGCAGGTCCCTGGAAACCAGCTGCCTGGAGCCGCTGGGGAGATTAGGCCCTGCCTCCAAGGGAGGGAGCCTCAGGGTCTCCTCCCCTCCCACTGGGGAGGGGAGAAATGGGACTGGGAACCTTCTTGCTTCTCCAGCGCTGCGGGGGTGGGGGTGGGCAGTTCATAACTCCTGATCAGCCCCCACCTCCCTCGGGCAGGCGGGCAGGCGGCAGGCAGCCCAGGTATTTGAGACCCCTCCCCATCACCACGCTGGCTCTCACTCCCCTCTCTCGTGACGTCATGCTCTCTCGCATGGCATGATGGGAGAATCCTAATGTTTTCCAACAGATGCTCCAAGAACAGCTTTCAGATTAAAGCAATTGCAAGAGCAAAGATTTTCCTTTTTCCCTTTTTTTTCCGGGGGGGTGGGGGGTGGGGTGGGGGGAGGGAGCGCCCCCAGAAATTCCTGGACATCACCCCCTGCCCCAAGCACGCAATAAACACTGGCAAGAAAAACTTTTTATTTCCTGGTTCAACTTTTTTTTTTTTTCTTTGGCCTGGAATATAGACTGAAGAATGGGAATAAACACGAATAAATAGCAGAGCGAGGCCGCGCGCGCCGGGATGCGTCTGGCTGCAGCCGCGAGGCCATTGTCTCTGCGCCCTGAAGCCCGCCTGGCGTGGTCCCCGGGCTCCTTCCCTTTCCCTGCCCTTTTTGATTTTCCTTTTTTAAAAAGACGCCCCCTCCAGCCCCCGCGCCCGTGACCTTGGCCGCCTCGGATGCTCTGATTCCACGCGGCTCGCTCCAACTTGCCCCCGCGCGGGCCAGGCCCCATGGCCGCGTCCGAGGACGGGAGCGGCTGCCTCGTGTCGCGGGGCCGCTCGCAGAGTGACCCCAGCGTCCTCACCGACTCCTCGGCCGCCTCCTCCGCCGACGCCGGGGAGAACCCAGGTAACGGGCCGGGCGAGGGGCCGGGCAGGTGGGCGGGCGGGGGGCAGGTGGCGCCGGGCTCGTCCGCGCTCCGCGCTCCGCAGCCGGGGAGCCGCGCCGGCCCCGGGCGCTCGGGCCCCGCCGTCCGCGTCCCCGGGAGCGCGGCCGGGGCGCCGCGGAGCCTTTGTCCGGGGAAGCTCCGGGGTCCCGGGCAGAGCCGGGCGCTCCGCCTCGGCCCTCGGTGCAGGCGGCCGGGCTGCGGCGCCCCCTCCGCGGGGCTGCCCTGCGGCGGGGCCCGAGCAGCCGGGGCGAGAGACGCAGACCCGTGGCCGCCTCCGCCAGCGCGGGCTCGGAGCTCCGGGGCGGCCGGGGATGGGGGGCGCAGCGCTCCGGGGCGGCCGGGGATGGGGGGCGCAGCGCTCCGGAGCGGCCGGGGATGGGGGGCGCAGCGCTCCGGGGCGGCCGGGGATGGGGGCGCGCAGCGCTCCGGGGCGGCCGGGGATGGGGGCGCGCAGCGCTCCGGGGCCGCCGGGGATGGGGGCGCGCAGCGCTCCGGGGCCGCAGCGCGCAGGGCCTTCCGCGGGGCGCTCGACTCCCCCGGGCCCCGCGCACCTGGGCGCGCCCGCCCCTCGCGGCAGGTGCGCCCGCGGAGCTGGGGCGGGGAGCCCCGGGGCGTGCGCCCGCACCCAGCCCGCCTGGGCGACGACGGGGCGTGCACTCTGCCCGCTCCCCCGCCCCCGCGGCCGCGGCGTTGGTGGAGGTGATAAATCTGGTTACAAAGGCGTCTATAGGGCTTGATTGATTACTTTCCAGAGAGGAAGAAAGGCCTAATAAAGCAGGAGGGGGGTGAGCTGCGCGGGGCCTGTCACCATGGAGACGCAGGAAGCAAAGTGATCATTAAAACCTTTCTCCACCAGAAGGCAATTTTCACTTCACAGAGAGAGTCTGAAGCTTCTGAAATGTAGGGTTCAAAAAAAGAAATCAAAGCTGGGTGTTTTGGTATCAAGCCACTGGACTCGATTTCCTACCTTCCAGAAACACAGTCCTCCCCCCACCCCCCCACCTCATTAGATGATGTTTTAAGGATAAGCCGCCCTCACCGTCCTTAGAGGACTTATTCTCTCCGGTTGCACCAGCCCCAGATGGGGACTTGATCGCGGGAAATGGTGGGCATCAGAAGCCAGATAATCCCTGGGGCCGCGGTGAAGGCAGGCTTTGTGGGGAGGGATTCCTTCACTTCCCGGGAACACACAGGAGCCTTACTCCCTCGCTACAAAGAAGGACCTATTAAAGGCAGCTCTGTGGGCATCAGGGCCCCAATTTGAAATTTTAAACAATAAACCCATGCAAGGCTTGTAAGATTTCTTTGTTAGGACTGTTGACACTGTGTCACTTGGTCAGACTAAGGTACCAGCCGAGGAAATCCCGGGCTTTTCTACATCTGGGAGGGCAAGTTAATTTCCTTGGAGTTTGAAGCCGAGCCTGCCGCAAGCCGACCCTTAAGGCTTTAATTAATCCTTTTATTAGGAATCGGGGATTAAGCCTGCAGCTCTCCATGATGGATTGGTTTTCTCTGTGTTGGAGATGCACATCCATGATTGTTCCAATTATGGAAGTTGAGTGGCTCGTCACGAGAGAATCCTTCCCAGCTCCTTTTGTCTCCCTGGCAGTAAAAGGAAGCAAACTTGAAACGGAAATTATGGAGGATTTAGCTTTTTGGCTGTCTGTGAGTTGATGCCTCCGTGGGTGGGAACAGAGGGCTCGGCAGGTGGCTGGTGCCAGTCCACCAGGGAGAGGTGGAAGGGCTTGGGTGATTACATGATGCCGTGGGAGGGCAAGCGCCAGAGTTAGCCTCTGGCTCGCGCGGTCAAAATGGGATCCTGAGAGCAGACGTCTGAGGTGCAAAGTCTAAGCGTGTACAATTCGGTGAGTCGTAGAACCTTGCTAAAGATACCGAGCAATTAAGTATTTATGGATTGTGTTAAGCAGAGGAGTTCTGGCAGAAAGAAAATCAGAATCTTCAAGTTGGAAGCAGCCCGGGAGCTTGAAGCAGGAAGGGTGGACGAGGGGAGCATTTTCTATAACTGCCTTCCCTCGTCGGCTCGGCACGTGCTTGCATACCTCTTTGGATGGGGGACTCACTTCTTTCTGGGGGAGTGCATGCTCCTCTTTGGGCAGACCTATTTAAAAATTCTCCACATGGCCCCTTGGAGCCTTCGAGCCATCAGTCCTGGTGGGACCTTCTCATGGTGCGTGTTACTGGGGGTTTCAGAGAGCCTGCTGTTTTAGGGCAGTCATCACACCGATCCGAGTCTTCTTCAGTAGGTCCGAAAAGTCCCAGCCCTCATCTTGCCCTCCCTTTAGGACCTCTTCATTTGTCCTCCTGCTGCTCTAAAGACCTACCCCTGAAAGTCGGAGCTGGTGTACCAGCTGTGGAATAACCCAGTAAAAGTCAAGGAGAGGAGTTGCCTCCTTTCGTCTGGACTCGATATTTTTGTAAAACAGCCCAAGATTGCGTTTGCCCTCGCTCCCCAAGTGCGTTTTTTTAAAGTAGGCTCCGTGCCCAGCGTGAGCCCGGCTTGGGGCTTGAACTCACGACCCTGAGATCAAGACGTGAGCTGAGATCAAGGAGTTGGATGCTTAATGGATTGAGCCACCCAGGCGCCCCCGAACGCATTTTTAATGCACCACTGTGCTCTTAGTAAAAACCCAGAACATTCTCGGGAAGGTAAACTACCCGTCTCTCCGTCGTTACCTCTGTGATGGGCTTAGAGGAGCTCCTCTGGACCTTTCCCGCAGGTTTATAGCTACATGTTCTTGGAAAAAGTCTTTAGGAAAACGCTGTGTGTAAGGTTCTTCGACTTGCGTTCCTACTCACACCGGGTCTTGGAGGTCTCGTCCCAGGGTATGTTTCCATCTCCCTCTCTCTTAATATGTGCATAGTATCCCAGGGAATAGTTTTTGTTTTATGTATTTGCGTGGTTTCCAGTTTTTACCCATCACAGTCAACCTGGCTGTGGTGACCTAGGCCAAGGCTCCTTGCACTCATGAGTAAATTTCCCATAGGGTGTGTCCCATCTTGTGGAACGTCTGGGTCACAGGGGACCCGCATTTTCTTTTTATGATATTGCACCCTGGAAAACGTACCCACTGACATTCTTTCCAGAATCTCCGAGAGTGCCCTTTCTCTGATGGGTTGCCAACGTCTGAGCTCATCAATCTCCTTTTCCCGCACAGAGAGTGACAAATGATGGCTCAGTGTGTTAATTTGTGGCTCCTTGATTGCTAGTGAGCTTGAGCAGCTTTTTGTGGCCTTATTAGTGCATTAAATCTCTCAGTGGCCACGTCCATGACCAGGGACAGTGTGGCAGGATGAGCGGTTTTCCCCGAGGGCCTCTCCTTCCTCGCTCTCCGCATCATTGCTGCGTTAATGATTCCGTCTGCATCTTTGCAAGACTCCTCCTGTAAACCCCTTCTCTCTACCCACGGGCATGGGAGGACTTCTCCCAAAATTGAGCTTTTAACAAGGGAAGGCAGTGCACCCATGACCTCCTCCTTCCGAGGAGTTCCTGCTCACAGCGACTTCTGCTTTGCTCTCCAGCCTCTTTCGGCCCCTCCGTGCCAGGCACCTGCCCTGGCACGATCCCGGAGCCCGGAGAAGGTGGTCTGGGACCTCCTTGCCCAGTGCGCGCCACCTGCTCGGCCCGCCCTGTCTCGTCCCCCCACTGTCCTTGCCTCGTCCCTCCTTCCTCTTTCTGACCCTCTCTTCCCTCACACTCTGCTTTTCACGTTCCTGGCTCCCTGCTAACCCAGCTTCTTCCTCTCTTCCCTCTCTTCCCACCTTGGGGTCCGGGCAGAGCCTGTGCTGCCTTCTTCTTCCACTCCGAGTCCCTCTGGGTGCCTCGGCGGTTCACACATGCAGGACCAGAGGCTGGGCTGAGAGCTGCCTGGGATGCCTTTTAAAACATTTCTATGAGGCCTGGCCATTTCCCTTGGTAAAGATTCTGCTCTGGTGGGCCAAGCAGGTGGGGACCTTGGGTTAGGGCAGGATTTCTCAGACTTGGCACTGTTGACGTTCATGGCCGGTCACTCTGCAGTAGGGGCCATCGTGTGCACCGTATGCAGACTGGTTAGCAGCATCCCTGGCCTCTATCCGCTAGATGACAGGAGCTCCGCAGCCCTTAGTTGTGACAACCAAAAATGTCTTCAGACCTTGCCAGGTGTCTTCTCGGGGCAGTCTCCCTGGAGAGCTGCAGGTGTAGATCATCATTCTGAAACCTGGCTGTGTATCAGTCACCTGGAAGGCTTGTTGAAACCCCGCCTCCAGTGTTTCTGATCCAGCATGCCGGTGGTGGGCCCTGGTAACGTGCATTTCCAACAAGACACGTGGGTGCTGCCGTGAGATGTGGTTCAGGGGAGCTCATCCCGGGAACCCCGGAGTCTAGCACTCCGCCGTGGCCTCCGTCTCTTTGCGGGCCACTTATGCATGTGTGTCCCCATTCACGTGTCCGCGTCCATGTGAGTGTCTGCATGGGCCCTGCCCTGCCCTATCTTGACTCCTGAGTGCCAAGACCTCTGTGTCCTGCTGTTCCCTTCCCATCCTTCAGGTCTTGGGCTGTTACCACCCCTTCAGAACGCCTTCCTCATCCACCCGGTTAGACTGAAGTAGACATCCTGCCCCAGCCAACCCCTGATCTTGTCCCTCAGTTCTGATTTGCTCATGGTGCTCATTGCTGCTTGGGGTCTCTGGGTCTGACATCTGTGTGGCCTGCCCCCCTCTAGGCCCGGAATCCAGCATGGACCTCACATGCAGGAGGCTCCAGTGAACATTTGTGGAAGGAATGGGTGTAAGCACCAGGCCCCAGTGCCTTAGCTGATGGGGCTTGTGGCTGGCCAGCTGGACCGGCCCCGTGGAAAAGCAGCTTGGGCACAGCCAAAGGGTGGCCAAGAGGCCAGCAGCTGCATCTTCCTGCAGGGGTAGGTCCACTTCCGCCCTCTTGCCTGGAGGGAGAGAAGCCTTT